TTATCAGTCTTAGAATTAAGCTCCAATTAACATTAAATCAGAAAATTGGCCTTTTACCTTAGAATTTTCAATAACCATATATTTTTTAAAGATTTTATTTATTTGACAGACAGATCACAAGTAGGCAGAGAGGCAGGCAGAGAGAAAAGGGGAAGCAGGCTCCCTGCTGAGCAGAGAGCCCGATGCAGGGCTCGATCCCAGAACCCTGAGATCATGACCTGAGCCGAAGGCAGAGGCTTAACCCACTGAGCCACCCAGGTGCTGCCAATAACCATATTTTAATATTGTCTTTTTATCAGTATCAAAGAGGCATTAGTTACTTTACTTTTATTATCTCAGGAGAAAAATTCTATCCTTGATATTTAAAGCAAATGATTTCACTAATAATTAAAACGGCAGGTAAATACTAAAAATTTTCTGTTAAATATAAAAACAGCTAACTTTTGTCAGAGATCTTTTTACCCAGACTACTTAACTATAATTCCTGTACTGTTTGCTTTTCAAAAAATTTCCTGTTTTACCTACTGTTATATGATTTAAAACATTCCAATTAATTTATGCCCTATTAATACTAATAAGCAATAATATTTGTGATACTACTCACTCATGAGTTTTTACTATCTGCTATAGCTGGTATTTTTATATTTGGTGTATCATTTATTCATGTCTTTAGCATTTAATTGCCATTTAGCATCAATCTGCCAGCTACTGTTTGGGTACCAGGGGTGCAGCACAAAGGAGGCAAACAATAAACAGATCTATCACATGTGGGGTGATGACACATTGTGTATAATAACCAGCAACAAAGCATGTTAAAGGAAAAGAGACCTGTGGGAATGGGAGATTACATCTTTACAGCAGGTGGTTAGAGATAATCTCACTAATCCTGAGTCATGTGGGTAGAGATGAGAAGGCAGTGAGCAAGCTCTGTCTGCCTCAGAAAATACCATCCCAGGCAGTGGGAGCAGCATGTGCAAATGCCCTGAGGCAGAGATGTGTCCTGTGTTTAAGGAAAAGCTAGGAGGCCAGAGTGGCTAGAGGGAAGGGACCTGCTATGAGGGGTAGAGACGATCAGGGTGTGTACAGGGTGAGAGGGAGGTCCTACAAGGTCTTGCAGATAGTTCCAAGAATGTTCAGTTTTGGAATGAGTATTAGAATTACAAGGTATGGCTTAGGCTTGGAATAAGCTCACTGTAGTGTGTTGCTGTTACTCGACACAGAAAAGACTAGAAGAAGGAGACTAAGGAGGCTGTAACCATACTTGGGATATTTTGAAGGGTACAGGTAACAGAAATTAATTTATAAGCTGAGTTTATAAAGCTATTATTTTAAATCTCTGTTACCCTGGGTCTACTAGATGGATGTTCATAAAATACAAATAGTTTAAGTTTCTCTTAAAGCTACTTTCTGCAAGTACAAATTTTAAGGACTGACCTTGTTGAGTTTTGTTTTGTTTTGTTTTGTTTTTAATAGAATTACTGATTCAGTGGTGCCTGGATGGCTCAGTCGGTTAAGATTCTGTCTTTGGCTCAGGTCATGATCCCAGGGTCCTGGGATTGAGCCCCACATTGCACTCCTTGCTCAGCAGTAGCCTGCCTCTCCCTCATTTTCTGCTTGATGCTCTGCCTACTTGTGCTCTCTCTCTCTCAAATAAATAAAGAAAATCTTAAAAAAAAAAAAAAAAGAATTACTGATTCAGTGTCATTTATCTTAAATTTTATAGCTATTTAAGCCCTCTGCCTTATATAAGTAATATAGAAAATGTCTGATATAAGTATATTTAAAATATTACACATTGCTTCTCAGATTCAGTTCACGTTTTTTAATAGAGGTGGTTTTTTCCCCCTCTTTATTACTTTCTCTGAAAGTGTTGGGGAAAGAGAATAAAACATGGGCTCTAAGAGCCCTAGATTTGGAATGCAAGAGACTTAGGTTCAAGTCCAGGCTCTGGCTCTTGTTAGCTGTGCAACTTTGGGGAAGTCACCTAACCTCTCTGAGCTTCAGCAGCTTCCTTTCTTGGATGCTGGAAAATGGTTCGCTGTGAGCATGCTGTGTCATGCATATAAAACAGCATAGTACCAGGAGCATATTTAGAACTTTGTTACTGATCATTGTTATGTAAATTTTAATAAATGGCTATGATAAGATATTGATGACACAGGACATATTTGCATTTATTGGGAAGAATAATTTTAATATCTTTAAAAGATTTTATTTATTTGGCAGAGCAGGCACAAAGGTAGGGACAGAGGGAGAGGGAGAAGCAGACTCCCTGCTGAGGAGGGAGCCTGACGCGGGGCTGGATCCCAGGACCCCAGGATTATGACCTGAGCTGATGAACAACTGAGCCACCCATGCGCCCCGGGAAAAATCATATTAGAAGGAGCTGTTACTTTTAGGCATGACTGCATAAAGTTGTTATTTATTCCCAATCACTTAGGTATAGATGTCCACTTCATATACCTAATAGTCAGTACATAGTCCGGTGTAGGCACTAAAAGGCATGTAAATAAGGACAGGTCCAAGATACTAACTATTGTATTTAACTTGTCAGATGTATACCTAGTTTAATAATAAACTCACTAAAATGATGGCTTTTCCCTGTATACAACAGTCTTTGTCTTAGTGAAAGTTGACACAAATGATGTTCCTCTACTGACCTTTCTCGCTTTTCATCACCTAAACCCCTGGCTCTGTTGTGTCAGGAAGGCGAGGTGCCCCAGTGAAGTTTAATATGACAGGATGACTTGCTGTATCACTGTGAATCACAATCTCCTTTGACAGTTGAAGCAAACAGTAAAATTCACTCTAATATAACCATGTGCTCTAATATAACCATGTGGTTATATTAGAGCAAAGCCAAAGAACCGTATCAGTCATCAGAATAATAAATAGAAGTTCTTTGCTCTTTTTCATCAAGTTTGCATAGACGTATAGAGTGAAATACCCACCCACAACTTAGTGGTGAGTTTTTATGGTACCTATATGATAACATAATGTAGCCATAGTTTGCATCTGAATGCTCAAATTCCCAAGTTAATGATGTATATAGAACTCTCCACTTGAAGTTTTGTGATCATTATTATACTTAAATTATAGTCTTGGTTTTGTGCTATCATTTGCTCAGTGGGAATTGACTCCGAAGTAATATGTGATAAAATGCATTATATTATAAATTATTGTAATATCATAAATTTTTATCAATTATGGGGGTTAGCTCAGAGTTCATCATTTTGTAATTTATAGATCAGATTTTCTTTTCTCCTTCCTAAAGTATTTGAAAGAGCAATATTTGCCATTAGTCTTGCTGCGGTTCACATTGAAAATACATTCTGGTAGGATGTATTATTCTGACTATGAAATAAAATAATTGATGTTTCCCTATTTAGGAATGAAGTATAATTGTAAGATTTTCAAAGCATAAATTCCAGCAGCATATGAGTATCTGAAATAACATTATGTTCTCTATAATGGCAAAACAATTTTCAGACTGAAATGATGATTTGAGATGTATAAAAGGTCTTTATGTCATTATGATTCAGATATAACTTTAAAATTAATTGCTTTTATCCTAATTGACTAGTTGCAAGCATCAAAGATACACATGCACACACATGTTTATATATAGATGAAAAAAAGAGTGGGAGCACCAAATAAAAATCTTCTGGGGAAAGTTATACCAAGCATTCATTTTTCTTTATTTTTCATAATCATTTCTACCTATTTTATCCATAATATTAAAAATTAGTTAAAATTATAATACATAAGTCTTTGGGAACTAAAATGCAATCTTTAGAAAAATAAGCTAATAGAGGAGGAAGTGATTGGTGTTAATTATCAAATGCAAAAGATTCATTTCATTGAAATAGACAATTTTGGGGGCACCTGGGTGGCTCAGTGGGTTAAAGTCTCTGCCTTCGGCTCAGGTCATGATCCCAGGGTCCTGGGATCAAGCCCCACATCGGGCTCTCTGCTCCACGGGGAGCCTGCTTTCTCCTCTCTCTCTCTGCCTGCCTCTCTGCCTACTTGTGATCTCTGTCTGTCAAGTAAATAAATAAAATCTTAAAAAAAAAAATTCAGGTGAAATAGACACTTTTGGAATATGAGATTAATAGGTCTTTCTCATTGCATTAACAAACTTATAGTTCATGTGTTAATAATTTTTGATGACTGTTATACAACCTGGTCCTTAAACTGATACAGAATAAATTCTAAATCCGTTATAAGAAATATTTTATTCTTTTAATCCTGACCTTAGTAAGAGAAGATTTCCGTTCGGTCTTCATAACCACCTCTAAAAGTCCTTGTAAAACTTGCCTTTATTGCAGAGGGATATTTGGCTGAGCACAAGCTCCAGAAATATAGCTCATCTGTGTTCTCTGCAAGGTTTTATTCAGCTATTTGTTTTGAATTATAAACCCCCACATTTAAACAAAAAAAATAATGCAGTAAATCACCAAACGCATTCAAATTTTCTTTGTTTTTTACACTTAGAATGAAATCTCTTGCTTCACATTAGCTTAATTTTTATTTGGAAGAAAAGTAGTTAAAACATTTTAGTTTGCATTCAGTGTGCTTTTATAATATTTTCATCCATAGAATATTTATTCAATTTGTCAAATGTTTGGTACCACATAAAATACTTTTCACTACCATTCTCAAGGACTAGTCATTGTTTTCAGTAGATCTGGAAAGTATTTATTGTAATCCTTTACCTTGAAAGCTGTCTAAAACAGAATAATTCTATTCCATTCGTTCCAGGTCAAAATATGAAGCAAATGGCCACAAATACCTCCTTTAAATAAATTTCCATTATAGGGGAAAGTAATATGTATTCTGTGGACCAATATGCATTTTCCTTCATTATTCTTCAGAGAAATAGAGATATAAAGATAAATGCATATTTAAGTATATATAAATAAAGATATATAAAGATATAAAATATATGAAAGCCAACATTCTATCAGTATAAATTACTGATTGTGATTTTTGTTTTCCAGGCCTGATGGAATTGGAACTGTTTCAATGGAAGAAAAAGAGAGATTTGAGGAGATAAAAGAAAGACTCTCTTCCCTTTTAGAAAACCAGATAAGCCATTTCAGGTATTATACTCTGTTCATTAATATTAAGTATTTGCTTTCTTCACTCAACACTCCAGTTCCCTATAGAGGTTTATTATGTCTTTCCATGGCTACTCAAGAACTATCAGCTTCCTCTCCATCGCCTCTCAGGTAAGATCCATATTCCTCAGTCTGTTGTCTCTTTCTAAGCCTGCCATTCAGTTTCCACCATTCATTAAGGTAGGTCCCTTACCCCTTCAATTTGTGGAATGCTTCTCTCACTTGTGCATTTCTTATCCTTGAGTAGCCTCTTCCAGCTCTGGTGAGTAGTCCTCCCTCTCTGAGTCACCAGAGGAGCTTCTTGTGTCCTATCTTCATAGTAGAGCTGTTTTTTGATCATTCTAGCAAAGACTAGAAAACCTGATGTCTTTCAGCATTTATCATCTCTACTCATCACTAGTAACTTATCACATAGTTATAATATCCATTTCTTAAGTCATTAGTAATTTAATTTACATTATTTATATGAGAACAAGGGCCATGTTGCCTGGCACATTTCCTTGCTCAAAAAAAAAAAAAAAAATTAACCATTGATACTAAAAAACATATACAGAATGAAAGATCAAAATCTTGGTATTTTTTTCCCCTGATTACAGGTAGCTCAATAGAACCTAATGGTTAAAAACAGAAATATTTCTGGAGAATGCAATTCAAGACAAAGGAGACAAAGAAAGAGGGGTAGTTAAGATCCCTGAACAGAAAATCAGTGTTAAAGAGGAGGGAATCTTCATAGTGATAGTTAATAGAAACCCCAAGTGATGATTGAGCTTAGAAAACAACCAGTTCTGATGAGAGCAGGTCAGAAAAATTCTTCAAGTAAATCAAATTGACAAAATACTAAGCTGTTTTAGTATATTGAGAGAGGATTTACCCACCTGGAATTGAGTTTGGAGTTCTATTAATTATATTAGTTACATTGGATTACATACATAAAAAGAGTATATTAAAAACAATGACAAGTATTAATTATAAACAAAATAATGGCACATAAATCATAGTATATACTGTGTCTCACTTATCTAGGACATTTACATAATATAAATACTGAATTTAATGCCCCAAAATGGCATAACTGTGTTAGAAAGATAGGAAGTACAGGAATTACGTTTAGGATGGGGGAAAGTAGTCCAAAAAAGGGAAAAAAAAAAAAATCTACATATGTCTAAGGTGGAGTAACAGGATTATATTTACCCTCCCACCTGAAACAAACTTTTTAATTTTTTTAAAATGTGGAAAAATGCTCTTAAAGCACATTAAACATAAGACAATGAATAAAAGTGATTCTTGAGAAATGAAAAATAAATGACTAAGCCCTTTCATTGTCTCTGCCTGGCACCACGAGAGTGCTTCTGGGCCATGGCTCAGGGAGGAGAATCCTAGTGGACCCCTGCCTTGACAAGACAGAGATGGGTGTCCAGGGAAGGCAGCCAGAGTTTGCAGGTCAAACTTCTAAAGAGAAGAGAGGAGAGACCTGCAGGTATTTGCTGAGGGTCCCCCTGGAGTCTTCAACTCAGTATTGATTTAAGCATGTATGTATGGAAAATAAAGTCAGACAAATAATCCTTTCACTCTGCGGTAGGATTACAGGAGATAATCCCCAAAGCTAGGAGGAGTACCAGTTTCTACCACCCAGGGTGGAAAGCTTCTAAGTCATGGACAGAGGGTCAAATACTGAAGAAAATTTTTCCTCAGTAAGAGAAAAAATTTAACCCTGTTTTTATCTTTCCTAATGAGGATTAAAATCAAGTTTCAAATAAATCAAACTGTTTTAAGTAATTTAACTGCATTCCAGAACAAAGCTCAAGAATAAAGGAATACAAAAGTACTGAGTCACCAATAATGTAAAATAATAATGCCTAGCATCCAGTCAAAAATTTCTAGGCGGGGCGCCTGGGTGGCTCAATGGGTTAAGCTGCTGCCTTCGGCTCAGGTCATGATCTCAGGGTCCTGGGATCAAGTCCCGCATCGGGCTCTCTGCTCAGCAGGGAGCCTGCTTCCCTCTCTCTCTCTCTCTGCCTGCCTCTCTGTCTACTTGTGATCTCTGTCAAATAAATAAATAAAATCTTTAAAAAAAAAAAAATTTCTAGGCATACAAAGAAATGGTAAAATATGACCAATGAAGAGAATGAAAACAGCCAAATGTGGAAGTGACACAGAAGATAGAATTAGTAAACAATAGTATTAAAAGAAATCTTACCAAATGTATGTTCAACCTGTTAAGGGCATCTGTGGGAAACCTGCAACTTCATACTTAACAGTGAAAGATTGAATGCTTTTCACCTAAGATCAAGAGCAAGGCAAGGATATCTGCTCAAAAATCAGTAATCAAGGTTGTGTGGTATGGACAGTTCAGAAATTGACTCCCACATATATGGTCAATTGATTTTCAAAGATAAACCAAGATAGTTTGCAAAGTATACTTTTTTTCAATAAATGGTGCTAGAACTATTAAATAGCCAAATGCAAAATACTGACCTGGCCCCATACCTCATACCTGATTAAAAAGTTAACTCAAAATGGATGGATCTAGGAAACAGAAAATCTCTTTGCTCTTATACTAAGCAAAGATTATTCAGAACACCAAAATCATGATTCATAAATGGAACAATATTACCTTGAACTTTATCAATATTAAGTACGTGTGATCTTCTAAAGACATTGATGTGGGAATAAAGAGACCCATCTCAGAATGGGAAAAAGTATTTGCACAATAGATACCCCCCCAAAAAAACTTTTATCTGGAATATTTAAGTATCTCTTAAAAATTAGTAAGAAATAAAAGAACCCAATAAAAAATTGTTTCTGATACTTCACCAAAGACACATGGTGACAAGGCATATGAAAAGGTGCTCAACATTCTTATTCTTTAGGGAAATATGAACTAAAACACAATGCAGTACTACTACATTATTAGTACAACTAAAATTAGAAAAATAATTACCATCCAGTAAGTGTTGGCATGGATGTGAAGCTGGAACTCTGCATATACTCTTGATAGCAGTATAGAAGTGTACAACCCACTGTATAAGGTAGTTTGCAGGTTTTTAAAAATTCAAACACCGAACATATGACCCAGCCATTCCACTTGTAGGTATTCTCCAAGGGAAATGCAAGCACATGTCCACGCAAAGACACTTCATATGAACGTTCATACCAGCATTATTCATCAGAGCCAGAATATGAAAACAAGCCAGATGGCCATCAACAAGGAAAAGATAAGCAGTGTATTCCCATACTTCTGAGCAATAAAAATGAATGAATGGTTGATAGCATGAATGAATATCAAAATATACTGAGAGAAATCAGAAGCAAAGAAATACGTGCTATAATATCCCTCTTCCATAAAATTATAGGAAATACAAACAATCCAAATACAAAGTAAATCCATGCTTGCTTGGGCTCATGGGATGGGGAGGAAACATTTGGACGTCATGAATATGTATATTAAACTGATTGTGGTAATGGTTCCACAGGTGTATACCTATGTCAAAACTTATCAATTGCGTATTTTAAATATGTGCAGTTATATGTCATTTATACCTCTGAGTCTAACTTCCATAGTGGGAAGTTAGTAGAAGAATATATAAAACTGAAAAATCGAGAATTAGAAATATTAGCATGTAGGTTAGGAATATAATGTTTAAATACAGAAAGAAACAGCTTAAAGTAAAAGACTTTTGTTTTTCTGGAGAAATTACTTGGGGAGTGGGGTGGAAATGACATAAAGGACTTCTGTTTTTCATAATAAGGCTTTAGAAGAAGTTTCCTTTCAGACTTGTGCATAAATAATTTTGATTAAAAAATACTGTATATTAAAATGATAAAGGAAAAAAAGTTTAATTGTGAGACACATCTATGCAGGCTCATCTATCTCTAATCAACTTACTAATGGGAATCAAGACGATTTTAATTTATTCAGATTAGATATTAAGAGTGGTTGAATTTTATTTGATGGTTGAGTATTTTCCACTTTGCTTTGTTATTGCAGAGCTGTCAAAGTGGTAAAAACCTAAAATATTTATCCTGAAAGCAGAACAAAACTATTCCTTTCTTTTAAAACTCGTTTTGTAAAGATTAATTAGGCTTCTGTGCAGTTATTTTCTGTACTTTATTGATTCAGGATTACTTGTACTCTGTAAATGTGTTGAATTATTTACACATCATGAGCAGCTAATGCTAATTCAGAACATACCCAGTGGGACCTCAGAGCCCTGAAATGCTAAATGTAATCTGGGGATCAGTAACATTCCATTCATAAAATGTGTCACCCACAGGTTAATGGAAATAAACAATAGGAAAGACAATGGGTGGATTATGCAAATACACTGAAAAGATTTAAGCAGGAGGAGGGGACTATAAGAACCCAATTTGTGTTTTAGTTAAACGTGGATTAAGGTTTATGGTATTCAAAATGATGAAAGCTACTTTGCTAATTTGCTAATGTTCCAAAAAGCAACACTGCACAGGAAAAAAAAAAAACTATCAAAAATAAATTGGTTGTTGCTTTTGTGCATCGTAGAGGAGAGGAGGAAGAGAATGCATTGAAGTAAGAGTTAGTTGAAGGAAATTTTTAACAGCAAATGAAATAAATAGACTTTTGAAGAAAAATTTGACTAGACATGATTTTTTTTGTGATTATCTGACACTAATAAAAGTTCTATAAAATCAAAACCCTGTCCTAATATGGATTTAACAACTGCTTTGTGAAAAATGCCTCTTTAATCAGTGTTTAAAATTTGCTGCTATAAAAGAAATTGAATTTAAAATATATGTGCTTTAAAAAATGTATGTGTTTTTAGGGAAACCTGTTCAGATTGCCTTGTGGAAAAAAAAATAATTTCATTGTGAGTTACGTCTTAGAAGATGTGTTTACGAAGCCCCTGAATAATGGCAAAGGACATGGAAATACATAAACTTCAAGTTACTGGTTTGGAGATTTCTAGTCCAGAGCCAAGTAGCAGCCCCAGGACAGCTCAGCCTCCAGCAGACCTTGATCTTGAGGCTGGGAGTGGTGGTTGGGGAGGAGGTGCTTTACGGAGCCTGATTCAAGAGAGCGAGCAGCTCTAGCAGGAAGAAGAGGCCCTGACATTCTCTGCTTTTTAAGTGGAAAGTGACCTGAACAGGGACCCGTGTAAAGAGCAATAAATCTGTTACCACCATGTGTCAGCTAACTTCCAAGGAGCCCACTCACTCGTCCAGCCTCTGACCCTGATTTCAGAACGCTGGCGTGACCTGCCCTCTGGTTGTTGGTGTCTATTAGGAATGCATGACATTAGAAAGACTGATGATGACCATCTCCGCTGGCAAGTGGCGGAGCTCTGGAAAGTTGGTGTTTTGTGTGGAGAGGGTGTAGAGTTAGCTACTGGCGTTATAGGCAGGTGTCAGGAAAGGAGGGAGCTGGAATGTGTTTTGCACTAGCAGTTATGTCTATGGGGTGTGTGTCCATCTCAAGCCACACATAAACACAGGAGGAAATGGGGGAGAAATCCTTTCTTTTAGCATAAGGCTTGAATAACAGCAAACCTTATGAAGATTTTAGGAAATGTATTTTAATTATCTTTTTATTGGTAGACTCTTGGAGATTTTTTTTGTTTTTGTTGTTGTTCTTAATTTACCCTGTTCTTTCTGAACATACATCATCACAATTTTAGAACGTTTTCATCACAGTTGATACCCTTACTGTTAAAAGAAACTGAAGCATGGAACCAAGTAAACTTCTGCCGTTAAGATTTTCCCAGATGGGTTGATGCTAGTTTAACCACTTTTCACTGGTCTTCAATGATGCCAAGTAGTAGAAGAGGGAATTATTGAGCAGTCTTGGATAGTAAATGTTTGACATTTTTGTTCCTCCTCTTGTTTTTAAAGATACTGTTTTCCCTTTGGACGACCTGAAGGTGCTCTCAAAGCTACGCTTTCATTACTTGAAAGGGTACGTTTGAACACTACTTTATAAATGCTATTTGCACGCGCAGTGGCTGTGTATTTTAGTGACTGAGCCAGCCAGATAGGCTCATTCCTCTCAAGGAGTGTGTCCTGTGGGGCTGTCCGCTCACATTTTATCACTTTCTCACCTACTCCTAACTACATTCCAATTCTCCTTACCTCCTATTTCCTCCTCCCCGCAGCTTTCCTGAAGCCCTCCCCTGCCATCTGAGGCTGAGTTGATGGCGTATTGGTAGTACCTATTTTCCCCACCTCTTTCTTTCCCTCATGAAATAGTCTTTTTTTTTCCAGTTAAGTATAATCATCTGTTTTTCAGACTTCACAGTTGTCTTTCATTACCCCCCCTCACCCCCCCGACTTATTTGTCTGTCTACCTTCCCATCTCTCATACCTATAAAGGTTTATCACTTAACATGCCCAAACATATCCTTCCTTCCATCCTAAATCAATCTCAGAATACATTTCAACTTGTGTTACTTTAAATGGATTCATGAATTGTAGAAATTCGTTTTCCCTCAAAAAATAAATAGCACAAGGCTTTCCTATCCATGCTAAAATAATTTATTAATGAAAGTACATTCTCCACTCCTGTTTATGTAACAGACAAGGTTTGAAAGGGAAGTATCATTTTCATTTATTTATAGAACTATTCGTATGCTAGTTGGAGCCTAACAGGTAAGTGATGTGGACAATTCCTGTTCCTTATAAACATTAAAAAAAAAAATTCTAAGTATCATTTAAAGGTCATGATTTGATTATTCTGGTCTTGATTTTTTTTCTTCAGATGTTTATTTATGTGATAGAGAGCAAGCACAAGTAGGGCGAACAGCAGGGAGAGGGAGAAGCAGACTCCTCGCCAAGCGGGGAGCCCAATGCAGGGCCTGATCCCAGGACCCAGGGATCACGACCTGAGTTGAAGGCAGATGCTTAACAACTGAGCCACCCAGGAGCCCCATCTGGTTCTGATTTATTGACTTAAAGCACTTGGTGTTGTCCACTTTTCTGCCAAAGAAGTCTAGATATATTACATTATTTATTAGCATGTCTTCTAAAAGCAAAAAGAAAAGACATTTTTCAGTGATTTAAGGACTTGCAAGATAAGGGCGAGAACTGATGACTGTATACATTGATTGCATTTCTTTATCCCCATCTTATCCTTGCTTCCTATGCATCGTGTGATAGAACTATTATTGTAGTAGTTACCTGTTGTATTAGAATTTTTATAATAAAACTGCATGTAAACCAGGCTTGTCCAAAATATTCATTTCATCTAATCCATTGAGGTATCAAGGAAAAGATGAAATCTTTACAGAGAGCTTTACTTTTGGAATGGCATCCCATCCTGGGTACCTAATGCAGCCTTCTGTGTGCTGGTTTCCATGGTAGAGCTTCCCTCCTCCCCCAGCAAGGAACAGCTCGTAATAGCATAGATGCCCTCACGCACTGACAAGTGGCGGGATGAACAGTGACCTTTTTTCCAGTTATAGTCACTTATCATGTCTCTTGCTGAACTGAGAGAGAAATGGTAGGGCCATTTCTTCATTTTCACATCTCTGTACTTATTGACATCTTAGGAAAACAAAATCTACATGTGAATTCTTCATACTTATTATGCTTTGGAAGAAATGGAAGGGATACAGGAAACAAGCTGTGTCTCCCTTTTTGCTTTTGCCAGCCCCTAATCTGTACTTTGCCAGGAAAGGGGGTACAATTCCCCCCAACTCCAAATTAAATATTTTGACCCGGGACTCACCTCTGTAACAGACATATACATTCTAATTTTAACAGCTATTTCTATTATTTAAAAGGGTGTCGGGTGCCTGCATGACTCCGTTGGTTAAGCATCTGACCCTTGATTTCAGCTCAGGGTATGATCTCAGGGTTGTGGGATGAAGCCGCACTTTGGGCTCCATATTGGAGCATGGAGCCTGCTTAAGATTCTTTCCCTCATCCCTCTCTCCCCCAACCCCCCCCCAGTTTGTGCTCACACTCTCTCTCAATGAATGAATGAATGAATGCATGTCACCATGGGAAGGCCTAGTAGTAAAGTTCCTGGTTCTGTATATGGGACAAAATTAATTTTAAATTTAAACTGTAGTAATGATCACATTAAAAATGATAGTACATTTAAAAACAAAAATAATAGTACATTAATGCTTGTTTTGTTTTTTTTTTAACTGTGAGCAGAAGGGGTTTTTTGGGTTTTTTTTTTTTTTTTTTTTTTTTTTTTTCTTCTTAAAATTTAAGGTACATTTTTTTTTTTTTTTTTTTTTTAAGATTTTATTTATTTGACAGAGAGAGATCACAAGTAGGCAGAGAGGCAGGCAGAGAGAGAGGGGGAAGCAGGCTCCCTGCTGAGCAGAGAGCCTGATGTGGGGCTCCATCCCAGGACCCTGGAATCATGACCTGAGCCTAAAGCAGAGGCTTTAACCCACTGAGCCACCCAGGCGCCCCTAAGGTGCATTTCTAATTAAAGTGCCAAATATATGTAACTGTGTTAAAGATTTTTAATATGAGACTATGAAGAATAATTGAATTTAATGGCAAGCAAATTTTTAAGTGCTAAGGTTTGCTGTTTTGAAAAGGAAAGCTTGACTAACAAAATTAAAATGTGTTGTAAAGGATCACCAGTGCTTAAATGGTTGAGTAAATTTGAGATTGTAAAATCCTTAGTACCAAGGTTGATTGAAAGAGAATGAAATAATAAAGCATGAAATGGATGTTTTCATAATCTTTTGATGAATCTTTAAGTTAAAAAGACTAATAGAGTAGTAAGAATATTTACCATTCTTGTCTTCTCTATATTCACATTTTGCCTTCTATTTTATAATCTGAATGTAAGTAAAGCCAGAAAAGCTGCATTAACTATACGGAAAAGATAGAGGTTAACTAGTGGTATAATCAAAACTGACTGTAAGCAGTTTTATCACTGAGAAAGTTTTGAGGAAAATTATCAGTGAATAATTATAAAAGTGCCTAAATACATTATGTTTTGAATTCTGGATGTAATTGTATTTTCCCCTTGGTAATAGTAATATGTCTAATGGGAAAAAAAAAAAACCCAAAAAACCAAATATATATTTAGGAACTCAACAGAAAATAATCTGTTGTTTTTTAATTTCCCAAAGTTTCTGTGTATTTTAACATTTGATATTCCATTCATTTCATGAAAAGATTTTCTCCCCCTCAACAGATTAATTAAAGTTTAATTGTGAGAATTAGAGATCTTGATTTTTATATAGTTCAAAAACAGTGCTTATTCTTCATAGCATTTTGTTACTGTATTCATATATATTGCTCAAAAGATTTAAAGCTCTTAAATTAGGGATGTGCAAGACAAACTTTATTACTTGTCCCAAGGACTATAATCCTGATCTGAAACAGCTGCTCTAATGGTGTCATGGGCCCCTGGAGGAAAAGTGACAGTCATCACACTGAATGGTGGTTTGGCCTATGGGAGGTTTTGATGTGCATAAATGAGGCTTAGACAGGAGGAGCCAAGACGGGAGGATTACATTCCCGGTTGTGAAGTGCCGACTCATTACTTTCCCCCAGTATTACCTAGGACCCCTTCCTCGTAATAGATCTAGGACAATTTGTGTAATTTGATTGTAGTATCTGTTTTACGCAGTCTCTTTCTCTCCCCCTCTTTAGGTTTTAATGAAAGATATCGCCACTCCCATACCAGCAGAAGAGGTGAAAAAAGTGGTCAGAAAATGTCTCGAGAAAGCGGCCTTGATCAATTACACTAGACTCACAGAATATGCCAAAATAGAAGGTCAGTGCACTGAGCAATTGCCCAAGTGGCAGTGAGAGCCAACAATGCCTATTAACTGAATTTTCTGTGAGAAGTTCTTTCCTTTCCTGAGCAAACCTGTACCGTGGCAAAGGGAAATGTCTCATTAAAATCTCAGCTGGTGAACTGAAGAGCTTTTTCCTATTCATTGCTTTAATATGCCTCCTGGGACTCTGCTTGAATGAAAGACCCAGGATTCGTGCTTAAGTTGTCCTTTGTTCTTATTTTGAGTTTTCAAGGAACCAAAAGGTGTTTTCATGGGCTGTATTTTTTTATATTACCGTAAGTATGTCTAACATTTAAATTATGGGTAGTGTCTTCTTTCCTGATCAGTAACTGTATAGTGTTACATAATTTTATTTTCTGTTCAACACTCTCAGAGAAGGAGGAAACTTGATTATGGTGAGGGCCAAAATAAAGTGATAGAAGTCCCTTCAACTTTTCATGGCTTGCAATATTAATGCACTTGAAAGATTAGACCTCTTGAGAGGACTGCACATTTTTTCTTCTTCCTTCCAATTTCATTCATTAAGAATGCTGAAATTTAAGGTGCTTAGAAATAGCTAGATTGAAATTCGTGGCAAAATCCCAAATCAGCTTTATTCAACAATCCTTTAAAAATAGGAAGAGGCTCAAATATTTTGCTTTAATCATCATACAAATGGCTTCTGTAGTACATATAGCATTAACTTAGGAAAAAAGTTTATAGTGTTAAATACTTAATCTAAAAATAAAAGCAAATCCTCTATTAGAAAAATTTTAGTAACTTTAAAATTGTACTTAATTATAATTTTTTCAATTATTGACAGGATAGTTTTATCAAAATTGGGACAGTGAAAAAAAACTGATTATAATTGGCTGTGTTATTTCCTTTTTTCTCTCCAAATCTGATCAAGATTTCTAACAAGCATGCAATAACCAACCTCCTGAGTGATTAACAAAAAAGCCATCCCATCACTATAGCAACCAATATTATATCACGAGAGTAACAACATGAAACCTCCTTAGTTACCAGTTTAACATCATTAATTATGATATCACGTTGTGTTAAAGCAAAAGCAATGAATATTAGATCATTTGGGGAAAGTGGAAGATAAACAGATTGGTTTTCATATCTTGAATACTCATTCAAACAATTTTTGCATTTGGAATATTTTGTGTTGTGAACATGGTTTGAAAGAATCAACACAAAAATAGACATATGAAAACCTTTCAAATTGGATAAAGGGAAAAAAGTTTGTGCATAATTGAATCAACACAATACTGTTTTACCCAAATGTTTAAACTCTATCCAAAAAACCTGGGAGAATCCTTTTGTTCTTAGCAGTCTATTCTGGTTAACATTTTTGACTGTTGTCTTGTCCAAGAATCCTGAAAAGATATGCAGAATATTTCTATTTTCTAGTCATAGTCCATTTTAACGTGGACAAATAAAATTATTTGTCACCACCATGGGTAGCTTTTTTAAATTAGGCTAGGCGGGGTAACACTGGTGGTCAAAAGACATAACTGTTCTTCTGGATCACACAAAAAAACAAGTCTGTGTTAGAGAAGAGCCTATCATAGGACTAAATGGACAGTGGGCAGGGAGTTCTCCCACCTCTTTCCCTTCTGGAGTCATCTGTCTCTTACTCCTAGTTGACTGTAAGAATATTCTAGAAAATGGATCCTAGAAACCTAATTGGGTGGGACTACTGAACGGTCTCCATTAAAAAAAAAAATGCATGTTTATTATATGAGAAAACTTCTATGCATGATCTTCCTTTCTTCTAACCCCCTTAAAAATAAATAAACTTAGTGTTTATGCTCCCGACCAAACCAAAAACAAACTCTTAAGTTAGAAATATAAAGTGGGCCACTTTTCTTTGCTTGATTGACTGCCTGCATTATGTGAGCAGCAAGCATAGAATCCGTTTTTCTCCTAAATTGTCTTTTCTTATGTTTTAGGCCCAGCAGAAAAGGAAGCAGGTAATGAATGTTTGTGCATGCACGTGTCATGATTTCTGTTGTGGTGGCGTGATGTTTGATAGAGATGAGTAGCTGTCTGCTTTTCAGGGCTCCTGTTAGGCACTTTGGTTAAGTTACTGACAATACTTTGATTTTGTTGGAACTATTATTAATGCTTTGTAGAGAAAGTTCAGGCCGTTTATCTCTGTAAAAGTTCAGTAATATTCTTTACATAAATTCAAAGCACAAAATCTGAGGCTGTGTTGATGTTATACCTTATGTTTGAAGCATGGACACTAGTCTTAGTTGGAAGCTGTTGCCATATTTGGAGGGCTCTTACAACTAGAAAAGAGGACCATCTTTCCTTTATCACTCCTGAAAAATAACAGTAAAAACCATAAATGCTATTAAATAAGAAGTAAGCCGCTCTTAACTCTCAAAGTTGCTCATGCGAGGAATGAACAGGGGTTCTGAAATCCCAGCCTCAGGCAGTTGCTAGGAAAGCCATTCTTCTCTGGGTCTCTGAATCTGTAAAAGTTTTGTTACTTTTTTCTTATGCCACTTATCACCATTGTTATTAATTTAATTGCAGGTGCTGTTATCTGTTTATCCTACCTGTCTCTGCTTTAGCCCCTCGCAGGTAGGGTCCGGCTAGAACAGGTTCACTGTTGGGGCCGAGCACCCAGCCCCATGCCGCTGACACCAAGTAGGCTCTCAGTGCTCTGGAGAGGGATGAGAGCTTAGCAAATCACAGGGCAGGAGACCAGGGATGAACCTGCCTAGTCCAAGTTCCCTTCCCTCTTTCAAACCCTGCATGGAGGGTCGTAGACCAGTTTGGCTTGTTTTTCACTGAAGTCTTCGACTGAAGGGCTCTATTCCTATGTTTCCTAACTTTTTCAGTTGTGTTTCAGTATTTGACCCCAGAAAGTGTCAGGCACAAAAAGCTCTGAGCCAGGAGAAGGGGAAAGAACACACCGGCAGTGATCATGGAAGTGCCCTTTGGACACACCATCGCGTCTTTTGACAACGCGTCGTAGCAGACGCCATCCAGTGCTCTGTGACAAACTTTTTCACAGTCTCTCAGGGCATTTCACCCCTCACAGTGTTTCTGTCGTAAAGATAGTTTATATGTAGTTGACCCACAGTACGTCCAGAGTTGTTAGGGGCTTTCCCACTGATACAAAGTAAACAAGTAAGCCCGCCGAGACTTGGGTTGGGTGTCCTGATCCCCAGCCTACCGAGGCTGTGCTCCTTCCCTTGTGAGATGTGAAGGGGTCACAGAGCACCTTCACGAAGGACAAGCAAAGTTGCACACATTCCCATTAAAGAGAGGAGAGAATGGGAGAGTTGCTGTCTCCCACGTACCTCACTTCCAGACAGAAACCTTCCCTTCCCATGTATTTGACATTCATACTGCTGCTCAGTGGTACAGGCTGATGACTCTTGGAGAAACATTTTCCTTAAAATTAAGTGCTCCCCGGGGCACCTGGCTCCCTCAGTCGGTGGAGCGTGGGAGGCTTCATGTTGGGGTTATGAGTACCAAGCTCCATGTTGGGGTAGAGATTACTTAAAAATCTTTAAAGGGCGCCTGGGTGGTGGAGTCAGTCAAGTGTCCGACTCTTGGTTTCGGCTGGGGTCATGATTGTAGGTTCGCAAGATAGAGCCCCGGGTTGGGCTCCAAGCTCCGTGTACCACCTGCTTAAAGATCTCTTTCCCTCTGCACGCCACTCCCCCACACAACTGCTCGCTTGCTTGCTCTTTCTTTCTCTCTCAGTGAAATCTTTTTAAAAGATCTTTAAAATTTTAATATAAAGAACTAGAAAAGGGGAAAAAATCAGTGTCGTCTAGGTGCTGTAAGTGGATTGAAGGGGAAAGCTAATCTCAGCTGAAGAATCTTCTGAAGTAACAGAGGAGAGGTTTTGAAGAAATGTAGTTCTCTTTCTTTGGTTGCATTTGGTAGCAAGTTAACAGGGCTACCTAGTAAATGTTCTTGGAGGTACTTTTAAAAGTGACGAAAAATGAGAAAGTCGGTTACACGTGTAAGAGCTTGAATACTTGATAAAACTTCCAAGCAGTATTCTCTTGGGCAATATGATCCTTGTCTTCAGTCAGTTTGTACCATCTAAAGAGGAGTCAAATTCTGCCCAAGATTTGTCATGATTTTGTCATCTATTAACTGCCTGTTCCCACAGAGGCTTTCTTCTTTACTCTGCTTCATTAGCTCCTTAAACAACTCTACAAAACAGACACTTTACAGAAGAGGTAACCGAGACTTCAGAAAAAAGTCAGTAAGCTGCCCAAGGATGTGCCGTTGTTATTCAGTTCAGCAGATGTGGGATTTGCACTCCTGGATCTCCGTGTCCCTGGGTGCCCTGCCTCCAGGGCTGTCTCATTCCAAGTGCTGACCTCAATACCTCAGGCACATCGCAAGGGCCAAGGGGTCACTTTTGCCAAAAGTATAGATATTTATTTAAGGAGGGCAAACGCTTATTACCAGGAGCCTTTTTAAGCACTTTACATGTATCCATTCACCCTTTCCAATAAATGTTTCTATTACTGCTTTTCCGGGAAACTGAAGCAGGGAGGTCACTAGCCATCAGCCCAGAGACAGCTAGCTAGGAAGTAGGCAATCTACCTGTTGAGCTGTTGTCTTATTTTCCTGAGTCTCCCTCCCTCCCTCCCTTTTCTTGACAACTTGGGTAGTTAAATTTGCACTTGATTAAGATACGTGGGCATTTGAAAGGAAGTCTGAAACCGTAGGGCCCATAGAATTATAATGAAAGCTATAGATGTAACTTAAAATTTTCTAGTAGTCACATTAAAGAGGTAAAAAAGAAACAGGAGAAATTAATTTTAATAATAGTTCATTTAACCTAATATATCCAAAATATTTAAAAATGTATTCAATATACAAAATTATTAATGAGATATTTTACGTTAGTTTTTCATACATCGTCTTCAAAGTCTGGTGTGTATTTTACTCTGCTAGCACATTTTATAGTCCCATTTCAAGTACTTGTTTACCTGTGGTTGGT